ACCAAACCCTCATAAATTAAACCTTTCACGTCTAGGGCGAAGGCAATTTCGAATATGGCTAGGTGTTTCTAGATCTTGTGAATGCGGAATTTTGTATGAAAAAGCAAAGGTTTAGAAAAAAAGAATTGAATGTTTTAAGAGAGATGAATAATTTAGAGAATGCTAAAGAATTAATGATTGTTGATGATTACTGAAAACAATTGGTGAGAATTGGTGAATGATAGATGTAGATGATAATTGATGATGATGGTGAATGAAAACAGAGTTTTTAATACAATATTTATAGAGAAAATCAGCCAAAAAAGATAAATTAACAAAACAGAATCTGACGCTCAGAAAACAGAACTGTCGCCAACCCTGGCTAGCTGGCGCCAGGCACCATCACTAGCGTCAGGCGCCAATGGCTAGCGCCAGGCGCCAGGCCTGGTTCCAGGCGCCAAGGCCTGGGGTTAGGCGCCAAGCCTGATTCCAACGCGTTTTCGAAAATCCGATAAGTTTACCGTACTGGAGGATAAATAATATAATTTCCTCGAAAATGCTATTTGATTTTGATTAAAACTCTGAAAAGTCAACAAAAGTCAATTTATCAATGTTAATTGAATTAGGAATGAAAAGAACCTTCTAGAAGATTCTAGAAGACTAAAACCATTCCTAATTGCATTAGGAATGATAAATCATATTAGGCCCTCCCCTAGGTCATTGGGTCGTACATAAAGCTCAAATCGGGTCCAGTTTGGTAAATTGGCCATAACTTCCTCAATATTCATCAGAATTGGGCTTATAATATATCGTTGGAAAGGTCTTTGCAAGCCCCATCCAACTACACTATTATTGGACCCATATCATGGACCAACCAAAATGGATTGGCTGTTTTCTTAAAATAAGTTTTCAAAAACAGAGAGAAAAAGAAAATAAAAACTTTCCGCAACACTAGACTTTCCACACTTTTGTTTCATTCGATTATGATTCGACGTGAAAGGTACTCATCACTGGGTTTGGTTTTGGGGAGACACAAATGGGTGTCTACACCTATCGTTGTCCCTTATTCGTGGTTGCCTTATAATGATCCGTGAACGGTTTACAAGTTCCTTAAAAACTTGTTGGCGGCTCCCTGCTTTCCTTGTCCCTAATCGTATATGTCAATTCCCATTTCCTATGAGTGTCAAGCATATTCACACATGCTTTTACGTAGGCGCACTTCGAGCGACGCCTACAAGCCCCAATCAAAAGAATTGTTATACAAGCATAGATCACTTGCTTGTAATTCTACTAGGCGTTGATCTTCTAGATTAAAGCTTTACATAATGTATTTGGTGAGCTTCTGGTCCTCTGATAGTTTACAATAATATATACGTTATTTTGATGAACTTTTGATCACCCATTACTCTTTTTTTTATAACCTATTACCTCTTGAAATTTTCATCAATACAAATTAGTATGAATCACAATCCAAATATATATAGCTCAATCTTAGTGTTATGTTTTGCCGTTCAATTCATTTCATATATCTAACATTGAGAGACCGTCAACACAGTATCGAATGAAACATCAGGTTTCCATAACGGGTAATTATTAAACCCAGATGGCCTAATTTAATTATCCCATCCAGTCACTTCTCTAAATTTGAACTTTGGTCAGTTTTCTAACACTAGTGATTACTTTATTAAACTTACTTTAAGCGTGGTCATGAAATATGATGTGATATTATAACACCAATATGTGTTTCCTTATACAATTGGCAAGACAATCAATTAATATTTTATCCAATAATTATTCATACTCTACTGGAGTTTAACTATAAACTTGATACATGATAGTCTTATTGGATATTTCACACTCCTCTGGAGTCTTTTATATAATCATGAAACATATGAACTTTACTAAAAGTGATTTCTTCTAAAAATGTAATGAAATTTACCACTTCCTTAAATTTGTCATTGTCAATAGTGACTCCTTTCCTTTTCAAAGATACTTAATTATCTTCAACCTATTGATTTATCACGCTTCAGGCATGCTATAGGTTCATCAACAATTGATGTTGTACTTCTAGGACATCAATTTTAAATTAGAGCATTTGCAACTAGTATATGATAAATGTCATTTGTTTATATCCATCTTCAAGATGGTATCATTTCAAAATATTTAATTAACATGTGGCCACTTCAATTAAATAAATCGTTGATATTTAAGTTATTGTATGTATCAAACTGACCATCAATATATTTTATTATTTATATGCAAGGATTACATACAATCTCCCCCTAATCCTTGCATATGGGGGTATGGAATGAATCAATCGAACAACCTTTAAAATCCTTGCATTCTTTTGATAATGTCATGTATCAAGTAACGTGTTCCTTTTAGCAAAAACATGCTTATATAAAATTATACTTATCGAACACTTATCATGTTCCTCATGCCCAATTACATTCATCTGTATAATAACGAAACCTCTTACATTTATAGGCATAATAAAACATTGATTATGTAAAGTTTCTCACAATGTCATATTGCAATTTATAAACTTACAAACATTATTTCTCGGTCCAATAGTTAATATGTAATCATCTTTGCAATTCTAATTGAGCTTTTCAATGATTTGTAATTACCAACATAATGAAAATATGCTTCCTTTCAATCACATGAACTCTCATTCACGTATGGAGTGAGTAAATATAGTAATTTATGTATCTTCAATACTCACTTAGAGTTCAATATCTAAAATACATTCAAAATCTTTTGTATATTCTTTCTCATGGAATTGTGTCTATATATAGACGCATTAGTATCGCGGATGCTTTTTAGCAACATACTTTATTAGAAACTAATAGAATTTTCTAAGTCATATACGTATCTTTATATCATTTTTATGGTTTTTAAACCTTTATAAATTTAAGGAACTTCAGGTTCATATATATGTGTAAGTATTTCATATTCAATTTATTCATTATTCTTATAATCCAATTCAACTTCATGTATATAGGCATATAAACAAAATCAATTTATTCATTATTCTTATAATCCAATTCAACTTCATGTATATAGGCATATAAACAAAATCAATCATACACAAATTAATATTTCTAAGTGTCTAAGACCAAAATATGGATTTCAAGTCCTAAAATTGATAAGGAGTTCGCATTTATAGAGTATTAGTTTGCAAGTTAATAGTATTACACTACTTGTCTTTACCATTTCATATGTATATCATATCATACTTATTACTATTATTCTAAACTATAATCCTTTTCTGATATGATTAACAAAATAATGGATTTGTCCATAATTTTGTTTTTAAAGTATTCAAATTGCATTTGAAGCCAAAGGGCCGGGGTTGTATACTTATATTATCATAATTTAATTTGAGGTCAACTAGAAAATATCCAATAGTCAATTATATTAAATATATGGCATCATACATATATTAGCAATCTCACTCATAAGAGAAATTAACAAAAATGTATATATAATGACTCATACATAATTGCAACCATCATGTATAATAGAGGTCAAGTTACTAAGAAAGTTAGATCTAGATTCTAGATACATAATACAATTTTATGACACATTTTGTTTATCATTATATTTTAATTAGATAATTTAAAGTACTGCTCACATAATATCAATATGTGATATCATACATAAATAATTGTTAAAACAAACCAAATACATAGTTCAAAGTATGATTCCAGGACTATATGTGAAACATATACTTCATTTGTAAGACTGTAAGAGCACCGATGGCATTGATTCAAAGTGAACAAAACAATACGAAGTATATAATTACAACAATCCGCAGGGCACAAAAATAATAGATTTGTAATTGAATTTGTATTGTACTTATTTAGTCTAATATGAATTGTTGGGAGTAATTATTATTCAAAATATTCATGCTAATTGTATATAAATCAATAATAAAATAATATAGTATAGTATACGCGTACCTTTAATTACAATTGGACTGATTGCGTAGAGTTACGGTTTAACTCTGTCAAATATAATTCGGCTCGACCAGATCCCTAAAATTTTTCTTACCACTTTTGATGGCCACACGCCCACACTAAACAAATCTACTTAGTTAGCAATAACAATTTATTACAATAATAATACAACCAATTTATAAAACTCTGTCGAATACACTTCCACTTTCATATTCCACATCAACTTTCAATTGTAGGAAATCAATGCTTTATAATTGACCTTTTCTTATTAATATAGGATAAAAATAAATCATGATCTACATAAAATATATATATATATATATATATATATATATATATATATATATATATATATACGGGGAGGTTCCGCTGAAAACAGTGCTTATGGTGAAAACTAAAAACAAGCAATCTTAGCCATTGAATATTCACTAGATAATCTGATGGTGTGAAACAACCCAAAGGTCACTATATACAAAAATAAGGTAATTATATCGAGTTATATTAAAAATTGATGACATTTACATCGAGGTCACTATATATAGAAATAAGGTAACTATATCAATTTTTAAAATATTTCCTTAGAGGTCACTGTATACAAAAATAGGATAATTATATCAATTTTGACCACATTTACATAAAGGTCACTATATACAAAAATAAGGTAACTATATCAATTTTGACCACATTTATACAAAGGCCACTATATATAAAAATAAAAATAATGAAGGTCACTATATATAAAAATAAGGTAACTATATCTATTTGACCACATTTATACAGAGGCCACTATATATAAAAATAACGAAGGTCACTATATATAGAAATAAGATAACTATATCTATTTTGATAACACTTGCACATAGGTCAATATATATATATATATCAATTTTGATGACACTTCCACAGAGGTCATTATATATAAAAATAAGGTAACTATATGACATTTACAAAAAGGTCATTATATACGAAAATAAGGTAACTATATATAAACTTCAGGTAATTATAAAAGTCGTTATAAATAAAAATAAGTTAATTATATTCATTTTTACTACATTTTAAAAAGATCACTACATGTAAGCCTATGTAGGATTCGAACCCACATCATGTGCAATGCAAGTGCACAATGCTCGACCAATTAAGCTAATAGGCTTCCGGCACACAAAAACAATATACTCCATAGCTATTAACTCATTGTGATGTGAGGAGGGCAGTAGGGATACATCACTGTTTCAAAATTGGGCCTCCACCAGTTAGCAACACACTCACCAATCTGCAAAATCACATAATTTAGACCCAAATATTTTTAAGGTATACGAAGTATGTCTCTACAAGAAATTTGCTTCAAATCAACATTTCAGAATAACAGCAAAAAGAAAAAAGAAGAGTGTTCGAGACAAATAATCAGAAAGAATATCACACAAAGAACACAAAAGTATCACACCTGCCAATTATGTGGAATAAGCATGCAGTCCAAATGAACGCATTCCAAGTGTCCAAACAAATCATGTTGATTTCAGGCAGAAATTTGAGAATTTAGAAAAGCTTGCAGGAATGATAACATCATCAATTTTTAGCCGAAGGTGTTCTTGGGCTGTTATCCTCATGTTTTCAGCAGCCTTTTCATGAAAAAGATAGATTCTTCTGAAATTAATAAGGCTGTATCCCATGAAAGCTTATTAACTATCTAGCAAGAGAAAAATTCATATACAATAGATGCTTCAGGAATGTCAAAAGGGAAATAATAAGGTAAGCATGTATTGGAAAATGATGAAGGAATTTGAATAATAATAAGAAACCAAAAATAGACAATAGATGCGAAGAAAACCTAGCAACATAGAAAGCAGGATTCTCAAGCATAAACAATTTATTGCAGCAACAGATGGCCAGAGCTCCCCCAAAACCACCTTCACCGGTGACTATTGAGATGACAGGAACTCTCAGTCCAAACATAGACCTTATGTTTTGAGCTATAGCTTCACCCTGCGCTCAGAGAGACAAATCATTTCATCCTCATTACCACAGGTTTAGTCAATATAAACTTAAAATAAACTAGTAGTTGTCTACTCACCTGACCAAGTTCCTCAGATTTGAGATCAGCATAAGCTCTTGGCGTGTCAATAAGTGTAATTACGAGAAAACCATGATGATCGCCATACTTCAATTTTCTGTCTCCTTCACATGTAGAAATCTGTTTAATATTTGCAATGGAAGCCTCAATATATGCAATGGAAGCCTCTTTATAAAGCCTTAAAAGTACTAAACATAAAGAAAATATAATCCAAGAAATTATACAATTTCACCAAGTTCAGCTTGCTAGTTCCCAAAAATGTAACCCTATTTCTCATCTTTACTCTGCATCAAAATGCAAGGCAGTACAATCACAAGAAACAGATGCTAAACTACTCGAATTCCCCCATGAATCCTTGACAACAAACCGACCAAGCAAAAGGCACAATGAAGAGCTCAAGATTGCTCTAATCCCCCAATTTTACATAAATTCAAGGGTCACAAACTCACAATACATGACACATAAAATCTAAAAACAATTAAATGCTTGAATCGACAAAATTCGCATGCTATTCAACAAATTTCGAATCCAAACAACAATTTATATTTCATAACAAAAACATTCGAGCAATTAACTAGAAATAAACCCTAGATTGTGAAATTGATAGTCGATAATTTAAGAAATACTACCTGAGAAGCCGCTTCAATGGAGAAGAAAGCTCAAACTCGCTTCAATGGAGGATCGAGAAAGCTCAAAACTCGCTTCAATGGGATGAATATTCAGCGACGAAAATGATTAACTCACATAATTGATTGTTGAAACGCAAAACTCACTTTTCAGGTTTAATTTTGAAGCTAAAGACGAAATTGATGAAGATTGAAGCAAATTATTGATGAAGATTGAAGCAAATTCCTCTGAAATTTGATGATTTTTTAGGAGAAGGATAGAGAACCAGTGATATCGTGAGATTGAAGAAAGATAAAAATAGAGCAGAGAGAATGGACGGTCAAGATTACAAATAACGCGAATGTAATCTAATCCGTCAGATGAAAATTCAATGGTCTAGATCATCTGTTTTCAGTTTTCAGCTTTAGGTTTGTTTTCACATGATCCAATCTCTCTCTCTCTCTCTCTCTCTCTCTCTCTATATATATATATATATAATTATATTATGATTCAATTTAATTGAAAATAGAATTTTAAATTAACTTTTTTTTTTGCTACAAAGTCTATCTATATTTATCCAACGTGATACAACACTTGGTGCGTGAAAAATTAAAACGCTAAATGATGTCTTGTGGCCTAATTATAAGTTTATTATTTGGTATTTTATCGAAAATAAAACTCTAAACCAACAATCTTATTCTAAACTAATTTTTCATCTTATGAAATCTATCCAAATATATCCAAGGTGGTGCGACACTTGGCGATTTTTATGTATGAAGTCTATTAAAATCTATCTAAGGTAGCGTGACACTTGGCAAAAAGTTTAGCTTTATATATATATATCCCTAAAATCTACAAAGTTATAGAGTAATACAATGGTATAATAGACATCCACAAATATATTTCATAACAGTATTTAGATTTATATAAAAATATTATATTTTCTTTCTCAAAGAAAATATATTATATTTCCTATCAAAATAGTTTGGACTACTTCATATAAAATAAAAAATAGTTTAGACAATTGACTTAACAATTAACATGATCAAAGGTGGACACTATACCATGACAAATTGACAAGAAAGCATGAATTAAATCTTTTCACAAACATTTTGCCCTTGCCAACTAAAAAAATTAAATGCATGAAAAACCACGAGTCCACAATAACAGTATGCAGCAATGGCATGCTCAAGGCCTAAGCCAATAATTTATTTACTAAAGAAAATAGGCGATTAAATAAACAGTATGCAGCAATGGCATGCTCAAGGCCTAAGCCAATAATTTGTTTACTAAAGAAATAGGCAATTGAACAACGATGCAATCCAAGACATCTCACAGTTTCTTGCATATTATGGAAACATCAGCCAATTTTATTCTCATTTTTGTTCCTGTGAGCCAGAAAGGAATTGCTGGAGTTAGGAAACACATTCAACCCTAAATGTGCAGCAGTCCCTTGAATTACAAACAATAATTTTACTCCTTCAATAAAACACATAACTTGGGGAAGGAAAAATAAAACCAACACAAGGCCTCGAAAAATATTACTCAATAACCTTAAGAGCAGCCATAATGAAGTTAAGAGGTCTGATACACATACAAAGAAGTATGGGAATAGAGAATATCGTTTGGGAGGGAGGAGAAAAAAAGAACTACTATCAATCTTAAAAGACATCAAATGGTCGAAACTGATTCATGGCATCATCAGCCACGCCTCAAACCTTATCTTCCAGGGCTGTCAAGAGAAGCAAGGAGACACAAATGGGAGTATCATATTTTTGTGTGCATCAAAGCCTCTAATAGCCCACATGGCACAACGCCATGTTACAAAAAGCAAAAGAAAAGAAAGATCCAAATCATCTTCTCTACTTCTTAACTAAAACACCACGAGCCCAAGGTTCATGCCAATGCTCTTCACTGCAAAGAACGAGTATTTCAACAATTACAATCGGTGTCATAGATGGATCAGAAGGGGGAAAAAAAAGGAGAAAAAAACATGCAAATTATGGATCGTAAACCAACTAACCTCTGCATCTTCACCAGCATGTGATTTTGCATTATCTCCCTTTTGGAGGAAGTCTTCTGTTTTAAGATCAGGATAAAAGAGTATCAGAGCTTATGAACTGATAGAAGCAGCTAAAGATAATAACAAAACAAATCATGAAGCTAATGCAATATAACTTGGCCAAATATAGCTAATAGCTGTGCCAGATTTTTGATCAAACTTAGTACGTCCCACAAAAGGAACTTTTTCTGATAAGGTAACCAACGTTATATAGATATGCTGAAAGATAATTCTAACAGGTGCGCAAATTTCTACTTAACCTAAATACATAACCACAAACCATCTATGGATTATTTTGACCTTGTTTAATGCTGATAACTTTCACATGACATCTTGAATCAATTAAGTTAATATTTGATACCTCCACAATCAGCAATAACCCAATGGGAATCCCACTTAAATGGGGTCATGGACTGATCCACATCCACTTGACAGCAAACCAAATGCTTATTTCTTTTCCCAGGAGGCAATTCATATTCATTGACTTACCATCCTTGTTAAGTACATCTCATGGTTCCGCAAAATATTTACAAGTAATAAAACAATTTCTTGATATTTATAGCTCCTGATAAGAATACTACTTGTAAATATTACTTCTGGAGCAAACATTTTCCAAAGCTTCTCTTTTACAATAGGTTTTTTTTAAAGACTAGAAAAAATGGGAGGCATGACAACTAAAGAATTCACCTAGCAATTTCGTTTTCAAGCACCTGTGAACATGCAATGCCAGGCTTTTAATTATTCACCGCATACTAAGTTACGCAAATTCCAGTAAAAAAGTAGCCTAGACAATCCTCCTCTTCCTTTCATCCGATTACAAAAGTTAAATTAATCATATTTCTTTTATCCTTCAAGTCTCCTACCCTTTCATCAATTTAATATTTAATTTGCTTGTACAGAAACCAAATATTAGTCAGGACTTTGAGACAAAGGAAACATGATTGATTACATTATGGAATTCACATAAGAGAAAAGACACGAAATATATATTAAGCTTGAGAACCTATATAATATATAGAAAACAAAAATTTGTGTTGAAAACTTTTGCAAAAAAATCACCTCCTTCTTCGGGGATGTCAGAAGTCCACAAGGTGAGATTGTCTCTAAGGAGCTGCATGATTAGGGTACTATCCTTGTATGAATCCTCATTCAGAGAGTCAAGTTCTGAGATAGCTTCGTCAAAAGCTTGCTTGGCAAGGTGGCAGGCCCTGGACACATTTCAAGAAGGAAAATGAATTAGAAGGTACACAAGAAGTAGCCCTCTCCATATTTTTTTTTCTTTTTGACAGGAGCGGAGCTCTTCAAGTTGAACAAAAATATACAAGAAAACAAACCTTTCAGGAGAATTCATAATCTCATAATAAAATACTGAGAAATTGAGAGCCAATCCCAAGCGTATAGGGTGGGTAGGAGGTAGCTCAGCCTCAGCTGTTGTGGTGGCACTCTGTGAAAATGGAAGTATTGAAATAAGCAGACAAACCACCACCATAAATTGAGATGCACTATAAATGCATAGTTATCCATATTTTGTATCCTGATATGTTATACAAGCATGTAATCCCCATAACACCCAAATATTAAAGTGTGAATGTCACACTTCCTGTACAATATGAAAGTTGTAACTCCAACACCAACACAGTAATTATGATCAATTGTTCATAGCCATATTATAAGTGCGAAAGGCAAAAGGCAAAGGGGAACATATACAGAAAACCACCAGATCAGTGTCATAGATACCTTTTGAGCAACAAAGGTAAAAATATATACCATATACAAATGAACCTTGAAATATAATAGCACGAAAACCAACAGATCAAAAAACATGCAGACAAAGAAATACATTACTAAATCTATGTAGAAAGGTATACATTGATTACATTCGCAAGTACATATCAGATATTTCTAGAATACACCCACAAAAATAATTATGATTGTAAACATAAAGAATACTGGTGTTAAAATATGATAGCTAAATATTTTGTATTCATCAGTCATTTTTCACTGGCAAAAAAACTAGCTTCTTTTTGTCATGGATCAACAATTTAACACATGAAACAGACCATTAACCTAGTGCCACTTAAAGGCTCTCGTATACAAAAGAGTCTAAAGCGATCAAATGTAGCACAAAATCACATCCCATTTGAGTCAATCAGACCCTAAGTTACAATAAAGCATAGATTCATTACAATATAATACGAAGTACAAGAAAACAAACATTAAATTAATTTCACCTCATATGCTTTCATAGACTGATCAGAAGCCTCTTTCCTCTCATTACCAAACTTGAACTCAGCAAGATACCTATAGTAATCACCTTTCCTGCAATAACATTAAACCATCGAAAACACGCCATTAATCATCCAAATTCATAAACACACATTCATACATTATACATAAAAAAAAAACCTCCATCAACATAAAACCCAAAAACGACCCTCACATCTTATAATAAAAGACGGTAGATTCGCCAGCAGTTGCGGAAGGAATGAGATGTTCATTGATAACAGTCATAATATCACTACAAATGTTTGTAAGCTCTAATTCCACCTTCTGCCTATATTCCTTGATTCTCTTCACATTCTGTTCATTCCCTTTGCCCTCTTCCTTCTGCTCGATCGACGACAGTATCCGCCACGAAGCTCTCCGAGCTCCAACAACATTCTTATATCCTACTGAAAGTAAATTCCTCTCTTCTACAGTCAACTCAACATCAAGCTTCGCAAGATTCTTCATCGCTTCCACCATTTCTGTCACAATTCATCAAATTCCATCACCTCAAAAATTGAAATTAACTCCAATTAATCAATCTAAATTCAAATTCTGCTCAATCTAACGCAAAATCCTCCAAATTAATACCGAAAAATCGGAAAATCAACAGTATTGATTCAAACAATAAGTAGATCAAGAATCCCTAAATTTTTCAAATTCACAATAAAAGTCAAAGTACAGTAAACTACAAAAATTAGATATCATTTTACAACACAATTCCAGAAAATAAAAAAAAAAAAAAAAAGGAAGAAATCATCACCATCGTAGCGTTCAGCTTGCTCAGCAAGCTTGGCGATGTAGACGAAGTTCTCACGTTCTTTAGTAGACGCCATTGAAAAGAGCAGATCTGAGAAATGAGCAAGTTGATGATTGTTCTCTGGTACGAGTAAAAAGTGGAGATGAAGCTTTCTCTCTCTAAAACGACAATGGAGGAGGAGAGAGAAAGTGGAGGTTGAGGAAGATAGAGGAGAGAGAAGGGGAGAATGGTAGAATGGTGATGGTGGTGGTGGGGAGATGTTAAGGGCTCACACGATAGTGACACGGAATCTTTTTGGGGTTTAGGCGGGGTACCTTTCTTTTTTTAATTTATTTCATTTCTCTTTTTTCAACCCTTTAAAAGAAACTTTTTGGTTTCTTTTTAATCGTATCGTTAATACTCCTCGTAGAAGGTGAAGGCGTATAAGTATTTTAAGACACCCATCCAGTTCTCCGATAGGCTCGAACTTGAAGCCTCCCTAGAGCTACACAAAGTTGCTTACCACCTGAGTTAACTCTTGTTAGTAGTGAAGGCGTATATGCAATAATGATTGATACACTTTTGGCTTGTCATGTACATCGATGAATTAGGGTTAGTTCACATTTACAGAACTGAGCTGAATTGAACTGAACTGAACTGATTGGAGCTGAACTGAACTGAAATGAACTGATTGGAGCTAAACTAAACTGAACTGAACTGAATATTTTATGAGAGAGGAAAATTAGGAGCTGAACTGAACTGAACTGATTGGAGCTAACTGAGCTGAATTGAATTGATTGGACCTGAATTAAAATGAACTGAAATTAAGTAAATGAGAACAGGTCCTTACTTTAAATGTTTAACGGAGGGAGTAGTAGTTTGGACAGCTGTAAAAATATACGAGTATTTTTTAGTTTTCAAAATATGACAATGCAAGAAAAGCTAGATTTGACTTGACACTATATATTTTGTGGGTTTGGCAAGAGATTTTATACTTTGGCTCGGTTTAACTCGAACCGAATTAAACATATGCATCTACAATGTGTCAAACCCACAATATGGTGTCTAAGTCAAAATCTTGCAAGTTAACCTCAACTTCAAATAAGGGTGATTAATGTAAATTGTGCCAAAATCAGAAGGATGCTTAACATGAGAAGGACATAACCATTCATTTTTAAACAATGGTCATAATGAAATAGAAACGGATCACTTTTGTGCATATTTTTAAACTAAATGTGCATCGTTTTCATTAATCACGTACATTTTATGTTAATAGAATGTGCATATTATCTTAAGCTTCGAGAAAACTATCTTTTATTTCAAAATTGACATATGCACATGAAGATATGCATATTCAATACTAAACAAGGAATTCGAGATGAGAAAAGGAATGGAGAAAAGTAAATATTAAAACTCGTGTGGTGAGAAGAGAGATAGAAAGAAATCATATGCAAATATGATAATTAATCTATTAATTTTTTTTATAAAGTTAATTGTTGCAATATTTGAGCAACGAAGGAAGTACAAAAAAGTTGCAAAGAATTTTAGCAAGCACGCAACACATTGTTGAACCATTTTTAAATTGAAAGTGATGACAATATTTCGAAGGATCGAATTAGCTTGATGGGAGGTAAGCCAAATGATTCTCATGTTTTAATAAATGGTCAACAAGCTCATGCTTTAATAGCCGAGACATTCAAGATTCGGCTTGGAAAAGGAGATACACATGATAATCGATGTTATATGTCTTACCTTAAGAGAATCGATGATTTGAGAACGCCATTCGAATACCAACTAATTTCAATTGTTTAATAGTTAAGGTAAAATAAAACATGATGTTGCTCATTTTATATAGATTTTCAATAAAGATGGTACCACATGTGAATTGGTTGTTAAACAATGATTGCGCTCTCAAGGAAACCACTTTTATTATTGGTATGCCAATTTATATCCATTCACAGTTTGCATCAAATGGGAAATGGAAATTTTGAGTCAGTTCTTTAGCACTGAGCTTGTGGATGGTTTGCATGACTAAGCTAACTTAAATCACCTAGTGTGATGCCTCAGCTTTGCTTTTGAAACCGGATTTGGTGTACAACTTACATCAACATGATGCATATTTTATTTAGAGAGCCCTAATGCTAAGATATTATTCCATAATTACACGTGCTTGGTTGGTAGTAATCTTAGGATGAGTGACCTCCTACAAAGTTGTCATGGTGTGCATGAGTGAGGACAAAATGAGCCGGAAGAACTTTTGTTGGTTTTGTAGGGATAATGTCAATCCTTGACGAGCACTTGGTAGCTACCCTACTACCCTAGGTGGTTGGGGTGTTACAAATGGTATATCAGAGTAACCTTACGACCACATACTGAGGTCAATCGCCTAGCAAGGGAGGTCATGAGTGACGTTCTAGGAAGTTTCCTACGATGCATAAGAGTACGGACAAAATGCACCTGAAGAACTTGTGTTGATTTGTAGGGCTAGTTGGATGCAAATTTGCTAGCTACCTTAGGTGGTAGGGGTGAATGGACAAAATAGCATGTCATTGATTACATCAACATTAGCATGCTCCAAATTTGGAGTGTAAATAATGCATGATTGAAATCTCTATTGTAACGGTATAAATTGAGATTTATGTTCGTTATATCCAATAGGGTATAAAGTTTAAATATTTCAATTAATTATATCAAAAAGAATAAAGGGATATCTTTAGATTGGGGAAGTGAAAGAAAAAGAGTGCTATGAAGTAACAAGTCCTCAAAAAATTCAACTAAGGAGACATTGTCTCTAACAACTAGTTCGGTGACCACGAAGATTTCAAGAAAGAAGGAAGAAAATAAGGGCTCATTTTAAAATTTTGCTAAGAAAGATAAGTCTACCTTGAAGGAACTTTAGGCTTCATAATACCCATTTTCTTATCTAACATTTCGATTATTCTTGAATAACCTAACCCTTGATACCCATTTACTCAGCTCGTAGCAACCTCAGCCCATGTCACCAACCCATTTTAATCGGTTACCAATCCATGTGTCACTTTCTCATTGGTTTAATTTATTTATTTATTTTAATTTTAATTATATTTTTACTTTTATCCTTCTGAATTTACTAATTAATATTTTTTTAAAAAAAAAAAACCTCTCCTATTTTCTCTCTCCTCCCCTCCAATGGTACGTAGACTGATAGTACAATATTACCTTCTCCTTTTTCTCTTTCGTTCCTTGATCTCCGCCAGAAAATCATCTCTTTCCTCCATGTCCGTCTAAATCCCATATCTCATCCTCCACAGCCCCACCAAAAAGCCTATTTTCACTAGATAACTTATCGATGATAACGGTTTCTTTATCATCTTTTACTAGATTTCTATAATATATTTTTTGTTGCTTAATTTCAAGGAACTTTGAGAAATATTAATGGAGGAAAAAGAAATTATGAAGAGAGAGAGAGAGAGAGAGAGAACGGGTGATGATGAAAAAGGGGAGGGCTAGGTTCAAGGTTAATCGCGCTATTTCATATCCTTGAAAAGAGAATTAAAGTAGTTTTTTTTTTTTTTTTTTTTTTTTTTTTTTTTTTTTTTTTTTTTTTTTATGGAATGGTCAAATGGTGTTGGTGGTGGTCAAAAGGTGTAAGTGGAGGTGGTTTTTGTGATGGAGTGGACAAAAAGGTGTAGGTTGTTAAAACCTCACAGTATGCTTCAATGGATGCGGCTCAGATATTGGTTATGGTGGTGGTTGGAATGTGGCTTTGGTGTTTGGAGGGTGCTATGGGCGGTAGGAAGGGTGGTGAGGTGGTTAGTTTGGTAAGGTGGCAACGGTTATGCTTGATGATGGCATGGGAAGGTAATGGGGGTGGTGTTGGGTTTTATTTTAGGGAATAAAAATAAGAAATTGTTTCAACTTAAAAAGAAAAAAAAAAAAAAAAAAAAAAAAAAGAACAATAATCTAGGATTCTAGGTAATCGGTTATTAAGGTTTGTTATGAGATAATACCCCTTTAAGGTCGGATTATTCTAGAATAATCTAAAGATTGGATTATTTTCAGACAATCAACAAAAGGTTGGAGTATTCTAAAGCAATGTTGCAAAGGGAGATATTAGTCGTTGATATTGTTAGCAGATAATTATAAGTGTGGTTTCTTATTGTCTATCATGATTTCATAAGCTTGAAATGGCAATAAAAATTACAAACTAGCAAAAAGGTCATATCTCATATGTTACAAATAATTGGCCCAAAAAAGAATTATCAAAGAAAACTTGAGATGATCCTTACACTACAAGTTACACAACACTCGCTGATCTACTAAATCAACGAATTTGGCCGTGCTAGCTAATCTCATCTCCTCATTCCACGTTGTCGTTCTCGTTTCCTGAAGCGTTCAAGCATAAGCTCATCTGTTGCTGCAAGCCTTCTCCCAGCTGGTTCTGCACCACTGTCACTGGGCCTTGAACCCGCTCCACTATCCTCTGTTCCTCTATCCTTGTACAGCTCTGGATGATCTGCAAAAAATCCAGCCAGTTTAGCTTAGAAAAGTTCTTTCAAACTAAATACTGACAGCAATTATACAAGAACATTTCAAGGAAAGGGCTTTTGGCTCCTGTCTCAACCAAGGTGAAAAAATTTATTGTTTTTAAAAAAGCTCTATTACTTTTCAACAGAGTTACAGGGAAAAAAAACCCACTGAATTAACTCTACAGTGTGAAAACCTTAAGAAAATAAACTACTGACAGAGTATCAATAACAGAAGTGGTGGTGACAAACCTCTCCTAAGTTTTTCAGCATAATCTTTCCCACGCTGGAAATAATCAGCATTGTGATTCAAAGAATTGGTTGATTCTTTCTTGGTCTGACCTGTATATCTCTTTTCATGCAGAAGCTTTTTGGCAGCTTCAGTTTCCTCGATATTTTTCAACTTAAACCTGCAATTAGAAAATGAATCACACATAAGATGATGTTTTCCAGATGGACAAGGTATTTGGAGAATAGAGTTAACATACTCGATAGGAAGCTGTATTTCTGCAATACCAGTGGTCCACTGAGTAGAGCTTTCTTCCGAATTTCTCTTTTTCACCTAACCAGGCAGAATTGAGATGAAATGAGATTGTTACAGATTTCTCATTAATTTTCTCTGCTAAATGACAATGATTGTGAAAACATTGAAATTACAATTCCATTCAATCAAACGTTTGCAGGAGCACACATAATACATCTTCTGTTTTACAAAATGAAACTGTCCTACAAGTAAAGTTTGGAAGCAGATGCAAGTCATGCAATACTTCTAAAATTACCTCATTTAATAGCCGTAGATAACCAAGATTATCCTGCTATAAATACCCATTGCCATCTAACTAAACATCAAGTTACCACTTCAATCAATATATATAACCACACGCATTGAATTACCCAACTTATCAAACAAACCTACTGACTTATCTTATCAATCCACAACCACTGATTTCCAATGATGCATGGGTACACCAACCTCCTGCCGTTTCCGTACCGGGGACGGGCACAGTACGGGTATGTCCTGGATACGTCCCCAAGGCGTACCCTTGAAAAGTGGTACGGGAAGAAAATTTGGGGATGGCTTGGAGCACCTTCATAAACGTTTCGGGGACGGATCACCTCCATTTCCGACGTCCCCAATAGAAGTCCAACCCACTTTTTTTTTAAAAACACCCCAATTTTACTTACCTGATTTTGATTTCTTGAAATCCCTAAAAATTGAAGAAGCCACCTACAATTTTGCGACTCACGATTCCTTGGAGGCGACCACTTGCAGAGGGCACTAGTGGTCGGCGATCTCCAAGCAGCCATAACTGAAACCGAGGAAGATTATTTTTTTTATTTTTTTAATTTTTTTATATTTTTTTTTTGTTTAAACTAAATTATAAAATTATCTAACATTTCAATTGGTGAAAGGTAAAGTAGCTGTAATTGCCATTTTTCATCCCTGTATCCGTACTCGTTTTTGTACCCGTATCTGTTTCTGTGCAACCTAGCTGATTTCTACATCTTCAACCTCCAACCATTTTAATTTTAATTACCAAAAACACCATCGCCCATTATTTCATCTTTAACCCACCAGGCCAACTCCTGTTTCATTCTCTCTCCTCCCAAGGGACTTTCACAAAGAAACCTAAACACCACCAAAGCTATCTCCAAAATTGAACATCAAACCACAACCACCATCATCTACATGTTTTCTCCACTGCCACAATGAAAACTAACAACACAACATCAGTTTCTAATTGGCCCTTAATTTTCTCCTATGTTAATCGGACACGGCTAAAATTGCGAAGTGTCCGTGAATACACAAGACACGTGCCCAACCCTTTATTGTGCACTCGGACATTTCCATTAGAAGTGGAGAGGAAAAAAGAGAAACTTGAAAGAAAAACACATCTTGTTCAAAGACCACCATTACTATAGAGAAGATGGGGAGAAGAAGACTGTAATATTGGGAGAATTTACCAAGGAAAGAATTAAAATAAAAACATAAGGGTGGACGTAATGAAAATTTTAAAGTTTTTTTAATGTATAAATTATTTACATAAATTTAAGTAACGTATTGAAGTGTCCCCGTACCCGTGTCCAAATATCAGACAAAGTCTTCGTGTCCTAAAATTTTGGAACTTGCCGGATTAGAAACTTGGACATGTATCCGTGTTCGACACCCGTTCCCAAGTCCATGTAACATAAATTTTCTCACTCCTCTCTTTCTCTCATGCACACACAATGAAGTGAATCAAGACCTATTCTTATAAGTATCGATCTTTATTACTTTATTTATGTATTCTCTTGGTTTTGCCTTACTCTTAAAGTGGGGCCAAGGTTTTACATGTATTATTATTTTATTTTTTATTTTATTTTTTTATCTTGTATTAGTATTAGTTATGGAATGTTGGGCTTTCAAAGTTATACTTCATATGGTTAGTTAGTGGGCCATCAAGGTTCATTAAATATTATTATTAAGGCTTTCTTATTTAGTTTGTTGGCAAGGCAAGCAAGTTAGTTTTATATTTCCTATATATTAGTCATGTGTCAACAATTAAACCGGGACATGTATGAAATAAAAGTAGATTGTTCAGCTTTTGCTTGAACAAACTTTATCAAGTTCCCAATTAGTTTTTAATCTTTAGCATCATTGCTCCTAAGATTAAACTTAAAAGGCATTGCCTTTGTAGGGCTATCCTTCAATTTTCCACCATTAAACCCCTTCAATTTTGCCATTCATCAAAAGGTCATGAAAATTTCATCCGTTGAAAATCCAAGCAACCCACAACGCCGGTAGAGACCCAAGCAACCCAGGTGAAGCACCTTAGGTATCCAGTGGTAGAAGCTTGCTATTACTGTAAATTTCAGATCTAGGTTTGTTTATTTTTGTTTGTTGTTACTTGTTGAATAATTTGTTTCCTATTAGCTGATTTCTAAAAGCTGGTGGCGATGGTTTTGAGTAAGGGTCTAAGTGAGCCTGATGGTAGTGGGAATGGCAAGGTTCATTATGGGGTGGGGGTGTGTTGGGGGTTAATGTAGGCCAATGAAAGTGGTGTGGTTGTGACCGCAGGGTAGAGTGGTGCTTTTGTGGCAGGGACATGGTCAGTTTGGGAAGGGTGTTGGTTGTAGGAGGCCAAGGGGAAGTGGGGTTTTGGCTCTCAAATACTAGAATAACAGGTTCTCTCTTCTCCTTATCCTTTAATTACACGGGCAATAAAGTAATAGATATATCATGTATTATGCGTATTTTTAAAGTCTTTTTATTTAGTTTTTGAGTCTAGTTTAGTTGATTTTGGTTCATATTGGCATGATAAGATTTAGTTGCAATGATTTTGTGCTTTTATGGGTAGGGTTAACGGAGCTAATTTGGATATTTTATAATGTTTTCATTTGGAGCAGTATTCTAGTCAAGCACCTCCATGTTGGATAAGGCATGGACATGCTTAGTAGAGGAAGTAAAGAAGCTGAGAAAAGAAGAAAAAAGCCAAGCATGTCCGTGCTCGATGGAGGCACGTCCGTGCCCGAGTAAGGCGTCCATGCCTTTGTGCGGGCATGGACTGCAGGCACGGGTTGATGAAAAATTTTGTGAAGCTACTGCCTCAACTTTGGAAGGGGGCACATCCGTGCTGTTGCGGAAGATTTCATGGAGTTGTTGTACGTGCCTATATGCGGACACGTACGTGCCTATATGCGGGCACGTAGGTGCCCTATCGAAGAAGATTTATACGCGTGCGGTCAGGCACGTACGGACGTGCCTTATTTTGGCATGTCCGTGGACTCTTATTTTAGAATTTATGAAAATTTCTATCTTTTGTCTAGGTTTTTCTACTTGAGTATAAATACTTCTTTATTTCCTTAAATTTATTTTATGAACTCTTAGACCTAGTTTTCTATGTATTACTTATTTTCCATTACAATTCAAGATTTGATATTTTCTTACTCTCTTTAAATTTCTTTTATTATTAATTATGTTTTCTTTAATTCTTGTTCTTTTTATTATCATGAGTAAGTAGTTTTCTTATTCTAAGATCTAGCAAAACCCGAATATGATTGATGTATGAATTATTTCTTTAAATTCTTTAATGATAATTACAATTGACATGCTTAAGTGATTGTGATTATGCCAATACTAGATTAAAGATAATTAGTATTGTCATTGTTCCTTTGTTTTAATCGCAGCGAGAGTTGGGTTTTAACGGATTTGAATAGATCAATTAAGAGTTTGAAGTTCATCACGAGAATAGTTGCATGGATGATTAGGAAGTTAGAGTAATGTGTTTAATGTCTCTAATTTGCATGATTCCACCAGAGTAGGCTTGATTGTGATTAGGGAAGCCATTGATAAAACGAGAGACCTTTGGTACTTTCCAGGGATTACTTTTCCTCTCGTTGATTGTATTATGTGTTAGGGGTAGAGCGATTATTGCATTAATTGTATTCGTGGTGATGCTTGATCTTGGATGTTTTTAGCATTTGATTTATTTTATTACTTAGATTAAATTGTTTTGATTAGTTCTTTAGTTAATTCCAGTATTATTTTAGTTACTTGCTTAGCATTTACTTGAGTCTGGTTAATCCGTCAAACCATAGTCTCTTGGGATTCAATCCTTACTTGCCTATTTACCTAATAGTGGTCTTGTAAGATTATTTTCGTCAGATACGCAACACACCTATCGATAATTAAACTCTCTTTTTCTGCATAAATCCCGACACAATTCCTATATTTTTCATTTGAAAAAGTGGAGATCTTGATTTTTGTCAAAAAAAAAAAAGGACCGGCTAACTTTCTAGTAGGATGTAGTATTATACTTCAAAGATAATTTCAATGGGAAAATGAGCTAGATCCATAGAAATAACAAAGGAGTAAAAGCTACAAGCCTACAATCACCTATAAATTCTATCAAGATTAGCTCCAACTACAACAACCTAAGGAAACTTAAAATAGGTGCTTTTACAATCCCATATATGTATGATGAAGAAAGTATTCATCAAATTGGAAATTGAATAACAACACATTATCATCATTCCATGACTTCCATCATTAGTTAATGTAAGAAACAAACATTAAGGGGCCTTTGGGGTTAACAAAGGGAATGGGAATGAGCATAAGAAAGGGAAACAAGGAGAATGGAAACAAAAACACTCAGATTAATGTAATTGTTTGTTATAAACAACCATTTCCCTTCCTTTCAACCACGACAACACTCTAAAATCAGAAAACCACCATACAAATATCATTGCCCCATTAATTTTTCGGTTCTTCCGGTGCCCCTCCCTCCTAAATCACCGACTTCTTCACCACCCCTCCCCTTGTTGCCACCGCCACCCACCTTACTTTTCTCACTCCCTTTTTCTTTTAAACTTTTTTTTTTTTTTTCTAAATCTAAGCTAGGTTATGGGGGTTTCGGGTGTTAAGGGTGTGGTTAGGGTGGCTTTTTGGTTGGTTTTGGGGTGTAATCGCTAATCGGTGGTAGGGTGGGTTTTTGGGTAGGTTAAGTTTATGAGGGTGGGTTGTATTTTCAGGGGTGGAGTAGTTTTTGGGTGGTAGGGTTATGCTTTCGAGGGTAGGGTGGC